TTCGGACCCACGGGTTCGGGTCGTTACAAAAAGGGTACAACTTTATTGAAGGAAATAAAATCTATCTATAGTATTAGTTAGTATGCCCTATTTCATTTTTTCCTTTCACGTTTATGATTTTCAGAGTCTAAATAAAGAAAAACAATTAGGGGACTGATTTTTCTTAGATGGACTTAATGCATATTACTTTCTTATATACTCCTTTCGGTTTTAATAGATTGTGGAATCAGTAGTTATGTGCATCTATATAGAAATTTTGATCCTTATTCCGGATGTTTGTAAGCATGGTTCTATGTAATGATTTCTTTGTTTACCAAGAAAATAAAAAATGCTTTGAGCCATGACTATCTGATTGTTTTGTTGGGAGGATGAACCAGTGACTTCCCATCAATTATGATTTTCTTAAATTTTACATTTTCAATCAATTAGGATTTTTCCGATCAACTGTGATCATAATCAATCGTGTTTTGTGGGGCAAAGCTCTTTTATGATGAGGAACCGTGATTTTTTTGTTTTCTAAGATTTTATGTCCTTCAATAAAGTTGTACATTTTTGCCTTTTCAATCTAATTATATTTAATGGTAATAAAAAGATTTAAGAGTTTCCTAAATTATTACAAATAAAGGACATTCGTTGGATTAAATCTAACAGCTACAATTAAAAGTGAGCATATTACTCCCTGCTCACTAGGGAGCAATTGAACACTATTGTACTTGTGTATATAATATATATAATACATATATGTCTGTATATATATATATATATATATATATATATATATATATATATTATTAGGGATATTTTAGTTTTTTAATTTAATTTTTTAGAGTAAAGAGTTGTTTTGACAAAATCAAAATGTATTTAGGTCATTTTACATGGTGTCATAACTGTTCAAGTAACGGTTGGGGTGTGAGTGAAAAACGGAGCAAAAATTTGTAATATGAGTGATAATTATTTTTGAAAAATATTTGAGAATGAAATATGACCAAACCTGAGGGGTGTTACTGAAATTAACCTTAAATGTAATTTCGTGTCTTGTCGTGTTAATGTCCACTATTACGTACAGAAATGCTGGATTTCCAACATCTAGTTGAATTAGTGTTCCCATTATATAACTCATTGGAAGAAATAGAAAGTCCCAACTGAGAAATTTCTATTGGTTTAGTATTAATTTGAGCTAAAAGTATTTTTAGAATAAAAGAGGATAATTATTTCGGAAAGCCTTTCTCAGTAAGCTATTATTATTATTATTTTTTATTATTATTTTTATTTTTATTTTGTGGTTATGCATTGTGGATACTCTTAAGTTTGGGGTAAAAAAAAATTTTGGGGTGTGTTACTTTGGTGATTTCATCCTCTAATCTCAATTAAAGAGAGAATGTTGTGTTGTGGAATTCAATCTTGGCATATATATATATGATAATGGAGGATAAATCAAGCTTAATTAAAAGGAAGATTATAGAAAGAATTGCGTTTAAAATTTGCATCTGTCCGGCCAATGAAACTGTCTAACAACGCAATCAAAAATTATCCTTGGGCAATTGGCACTCCAACCCTTTTCTTTTTTAAAATAAAATTACAAAAGAGTCCCTACATCACACCATGTCCAGTTATTATATTTTTAATACCATAATTACCCTCTTTGTACGACTCTTCTAATTATCTTTAATCTTTTCGGCTCGGCCTGCTTGGCTAAAAAGGTCAACTCAAAAAGTCTTTTGTCAACAACAAAGAGACTTTTGGTAATTTTTTTTAAAAATGGACTTTTAAAAAGTCTCAAAAAGTCTGTGGTTTAGAAATCTAATTGACAAAAACTAATAAAACATACTTCATTTCCTGCAAATTACACACTTTTTTAAGTAATAAATATACAATTCCTATATTGTTCATTATTTAACCTATTTTCATTTCTGAATTTCATTGCAAACTTTTATCTTTCTCTTTTGGTGTATCTCCTTACCCTACCCAAAAAAATTAAAAAGCATTGCTGAGCAAAATTTCACAAAACTTTAAAGAAAAAAATATTATTGAAAAACGATTTAACAAAGAGAGAACAAAGAGATTGAGGAGTTGCAGGAAAAATTACTATTGACTCATATTTGATTTCAAAGTCGGAAGAGTTTCAAAATTTATGAATTCTTATCCAAAATTACCCTATGTAGAATTGTAAATAACTTTTCTTTCTTTCAAATATATATATATATATGTGTGTGTGTGTGTGTGTGTGTATAATTTTTTTTTTTTTTTTCATTTTTTGAAGGCTAACCGTTCCGCTGTTAAAGTGATTTATAGTTATAAATAAGAATAAAAATGGGATATTTTTGTTGCCATCTCTCTCTTTCATTTATTTATTTATTTTTGCCATCTCTTTCAACTTCTATCATGTAGTCAAGGAAATAAAAAAAAATAAAAAATAAACTTTTAGAATGTAGATTAGGTTGGGTTAAATATGTATACCTAAATCACTATACCAATTAATCGTTGCTGCATCATTTGGTAATTTCACTCCATCACTTTAATTATGCTTTGTTGTTGTATTTTATTTTTATTTTTTTTTCAATTCAACTCTTTGCTATTCATGATTTATTAAGGATATAATTGTCAAGTTAAATTATGTTAATAGTTAAAAAAGCTTCAAAAAATTTACTCATCAAACATCTTTTTTGTTTTAAATTCCTTTCATTAAAATGCATTCTTCAAAGCCGATTCAGTGAAAGTGAAAGGAATTTTAGAAACTAAAAACTCCCCCAAACAGGGCCTCTAATTTGTTCCAGAATTTTATCTTATATCACTCTCTATGCTGACTCTTTTAAAATTTCAACTCCTTATTTTACCTAGATTATTAGAATTATAGTTGATTAAAGTTTTCTCTAATGCTCTCACTTAGATTAAAACTAATATTATAGGTTTTCATTTTGATCATTTAGCATCCTGCTTAAGTTTACATTTTGATATTTTAGCATTTAAAAGAACAACAAAATAAATAGTTTCCAAATTGCTGCTCAACAGCACTCGTTGTTCACCTATAAGGTCTTATTTTATAATTCCAAAAGTATTCTTTTTATCATAAATATAACTTTCTATTACCTTTTCACTTCCTTTAGTAATTTTTTTTTTCTTTTTTTTTTTTTTTTTTTTTTTTTTTTTTCCCCTCGGCTAAAGAGTTAAAAACTCTAACATTAAACTAGCAAAATAGGAAGAGTAGATATCAAAGGAAATCTTGGTCATCTGTCTTTTTCTAGACGTATTCTCTCACTAGAAAAGGAATCCGATGGTTCTTCAATTCTATCTTCTGATTATTCTTCTCTCTTTTTTTCCTTGTCTAACAAGCTTTGTTCTTCAATACCTTAGATGTGTTTGGAGCTCTTTTTTAATTAATAAAAAAATAAATAAAGAAGATACATGGTGTAGGGGACTTCGGAGGAATTCTCTCCATTGTCTTCCACTCCGGTTTTCTAAAAATCTCGAAAGAGATCAAGTACTACTGACCATTATTGGCACACTATCTCTCTTTCTCTTTTCACTTTAAATTATTGATATTTGGTAAACATTGAACAATACTCATCAATACTTATGGGATTACATGATGTTTGCTATTTAATGCAAATCTATATCTCTAAATTTATAACAGTTCCTTATAAATATTTTAAGCTGAAATATTATGGAATTGTTATAAATAATACATTTTTTTTTTCTTTTTATTTTTTTGTTCTTTTCATAACATCATTGATTTTATAATTTTATTGTCAAAAAAGGTAAACTTCAAGATTCAAAGACATTTCGAATTTATTTTAAAAAATCATAAAACAAAAAAAAAATTAAAACTAAACTTAAAGCATACAACACGAAAAGAAAGTAGAGAACGAGAGAAAAGAAAGGCTGGAAGGGCAGGCGAAAAAAATAAAAACGAAACTACGAAAGCTCAAGAAGTTAATGGGAGAGAAATAGTGGAGATGACAAGATCTTTTCATAACTAACTAAAAGGATACTTAAGGGTTAGAGGTGTCATTTTTTTTAATATTGGAGTGCAATTATAGAAAAGTGGTGTCTGATCGAATATTTATTAAAAGTGTTTGAAAATCTACAATCTCACATAATATGGAGATCTCTTTTTTTTTTGTTGGAATATAATTGCCTCTTGTCCCTGAGTAGGACTCTGGTTTCCTAAAATATAGAAAGTTATATGTATAGTTCAAGCAAATTTCCGTAATTTGCATTCCCTTTTGAGAAGGTATATTAATATATGTAAAGTTAGATATATATAATTAAAACAAATTTCCGTAATTCGCATTCCTTTTCTTTGAGGAAGTATTATATACACGTATAAGCCCTAAAACCCTCTCTGTATAAACCCCTTCTGCCGCTGAGAAGAGCCGGATAAACCTAAAAGAGAATGGAAAGGAAGAGAATGCGAAGAAAGCCAGCGATCGAAGATGCCACTTCAAATCTTCCAAGTGACATCATATACAATATAGTCACGAAACTACCTGTAAAGTCTTTATTGCAATTCAGATGCGTTTGTAAATCATGGCATAGTATAATTTTTGAACCCCAATTTGCAAAATTACATCTCAATGAATCCATTAAGTTGGACCGCCAAAGGATCCTTCGCTGGAACCCCCGTGACATCTCCCACTATTTATACTCCATAGGCTATGAAAGTTGTGATGATTCCAAGGAAAAACTATTCTTTCCATGTGAGGAGTATAGTAAGACTCATGAAGTGATTTGTTCTTGTAATGGTTTAGTACTGTTGCTTCTTGAAAGCGACGGGTGTGTGTCCTATGGAATCCATCCACTAGAGCATACAAAAAGTTCTCATGTCCATCTCAAGATCATGTACCACATGGACTTTGCTATGATTCTTCCATGGATGATTACAAGGTGGTATTTTTCTCCGGAAGGAATTCTCTCAGTGATAAAACTTTTTTTGTGGTTTTTAGTTTCAAAGGTCAATGTTGGACAGAGGCTAAGGAGTTCCCTTATTTGAGTCACGATAAATGGTCATTGCTAATGGAGTGTTACACTTGGTTGTTTTTCAACGCTACCTCTCATCCGACTCTTCTAGTCATTCCTCTTCGAATTCATCACATAGTGATAGTGATAGTGATGATGTGACATCTAGTGAATCCGAGTCATCCGACTATTCAGTAACTTTATCTTCTGATGAATATGAGCATGATCCTGCTACACCATATGTGATTGTTTACTTTGATATGGTGGATGAGAAGTTCAAGGAGATGCCACCACCGAATTGTATAAACGAAGGAGATATGTTTCATTTGACTGTTATGAGGGGATGCCTGAGTTTATATTGTACTACCATTGATGGGGACCAGGTTGATGTGTGGACTATGAAGCAATATGGTGATCAGAATTCTTGGACCAAGTTATTTGTCATCCCGCATGGGCCAGAAATAAGAGATCTAGATTTTTTGATGCCATTGTGCGCTACAAAGAAAGGTGAAGTAGTGATGTCAAATGATGATGAAGGAATAATCATTTATAATCCTAGAAAGAACAAGTGCAGGAGTCTTGAACTATCAAAGTTGTGGGATTCAAGCGTGGTTTTATATTTGGATAGTTTAGTTTTGCCTATTTGAACACCTCAAGTAAAAGGAAAGAAGAAAGAGGAATTGTATATAAAGAGGTAAATCAACTAATATCTATATTTCTAGTTTCTCTTCAATTTCTAAGTTAATTCCTGACTTTTGATTGTTATGTTTGGCATGAGTAATGAAAAATTTGCGTAATTGCTGTGTTTTTGTTTTTGTTGTGTTTATGTACCACATGGAGGTCAAACTGTTAACTTATCTTGTTCTAGCTAGGTGCTAATGGATTCACTTATTTTGAGTCAAGTCTAAATTTTCAACTACATATATGTAGCTAAAGCACAGTAGGTTAACTTTTTGCTGATTTTTCTGTTATTTCAGATAAGGATTAGCGAAGACAATGAAGGCATGCAACGGTAAATAGAAACAGATCAGTAGACCTTCTTTTTCATAGGACACTTATTGCTATATTTTGCAGTAATGACATTGTTAAGGGCACTAGCTAGCAGTTTGTTATGATTTTTCTTGCCTTTGTGATGATTTAAAGTTATTTGAGCATATTGATATTTCGACATCAATACTTTTCAAGAAAGGTTATTCTCGTGTGGCGGAAAAAAAGAAAAGAAAGAAGAAATGGTTTGTTCTCTTGTTTACTATTTCTTCATCTTTGTAATGGTTCAAATTATTTAAGCGTACTGATATTTTGACATTGATACTTTGGCTTGTCCTTTAATGAGGAAAAAAAATGGTCTACCTGTTCTCTTGTTTACTATTTCCTCATCTGTAATTATGCATACAAACATTGTTTCAGATTTGATTACTTTTAAACGTTTTTGTTTATTTCTTTCTTTGGTGCATTAAGATGAGATGATGAGAAATTATTGTATGATTACATGGTGACACGCAAGCAAAATGTATACAAAACTGACATAGTTACTTACATGTTACCGTGTGATTGGTTCAAGACCAATGGTCTCTAAGCATTCTCTTGCAATAATCTAATAATAGTAACTAAGCAGTTAGCAAATGGTGAAAGCTATACTTGAAATGTATTTCATGCCGTAGAAAGGAGTTGGCAATAACTTCTACATGTTCAAAGAAATTAATAAAATAAAATAAAATTGTTTTAAACAACTGAATTGTAGAGATACCTTATTCAACATACTCTCAAGACTCCCCGTTCTGAATCTTATTCGATACAGCTGGCATTGTGTGCTACAAAGATAGGTGAAGTTGTGATGTCAATTGAGGATGAAGGAATAGTCATCTATAATCCTAAAAAGAACAAGTGCAGGAGTATTAGGTTAACAGAGTTATGGGATTCAAGTGCAGTTTCGTATGTGGATAGTTTAGTTTCGTCCAATTGAACACCTCAAGTACAAGGAAAGAGGAAAGATGAATTGTAAGGAGGTAAATCAATTAATAATCTCTATACTTTCAGCTAGCTTCTCGTCAATTTCTTAGTTAATTCCTGTCTTTTGATTGTCATGTTCGATATATATTAGTAATGAAAAAATTGCGTAACTGTTATGTTATTGTTTTTGTTGTGTGAATTAATTAGTACAATTATAACGAATTTAGCATATGAAAATAAGTAATAGAAAACTCCTGGGGTATCGTATATATTTGTCAAAAACATGGTTGGCAATCTAAGCCATTCAAGACTTCATATTAATACTTGATCAAGCCACCAACCATTTGAATCCTTGATCCTAGTTGTTGGTTTTACCCTCTTGCCTTTATAATGGTTCAAAGAGTTGGGCAATAATTTGTACAGGAAATTTCTTCTTATTTTCTATCCAAAAGAAATAATAGTTATGTTTTTCTTAAATATATTAATGTTCATGTTGGCATCAATTAAGAGATTCAAGATTTGATGTAGTATGCTAATGATCAGCTTCCGTTTGTTTGTTTGGATGTAAAATAGTTTTCAAAATATATATATATATATATATATATTGGTATTTGGTTGTCATAAAGAAATAAAAATATATATATAAAATCTAATAAAAATAATTTAACCATCAATTTTTGACAAGTTATTTACACAATTTTTGACAAGTTATTTACACGTCCCGTCTGATGGACTCTTGAAAAAAAAATATTTTAAGTTGAAATCTTTTCATTGGTTACATTTTTATGCAACAGATGTACTATTGTTTAGCATAGGCAAAGAGGAAAATTTTAGTTCCACCGTTTCAAGAGTAGCTGAGATTGGTGGGAAGTGGTGCTGAGATTTGCCTAAAAGGGGGTTTCACATCAATCCAAGTGTCCTTTCCTGGTTTTCTTTTCTTAATTTCAATTCAGCTTTAATATATGCTCTTTTAGCATTACAATAATTTTATAAGAGCTACAAAAGTAAAAAACTACAGGAATTTTATAGAAATTAGAATTTTATCTAATTTTTCATTTTTGTCACTTCTCATTTATAGAGCATATGAAAAACTACAGGCTCAAATTGAATAAGGATATTTTTTATTTGAAAGGTATATTGAATAAGGAATTGGTGCCAACTAATTGCACATCTTTTTCCACAGTAAGTCATTGTATTCAGCAGTAAGGAGAGGGCCCTAGTTCTAAGATGTCCAGGGTTCGACTCCCCAACGCTCTATTATATTCCCTGATTTAACGGTGCTGTCGTTATGGGGCTGGTTGTAGTACCCTCGGTTTGTAACTTTGGATGGGTTCAAAGGGCCTGCGCAGGGGAGTTCCGAGTTCCAAAAAAAAAAAAAACAAAAGTAGAATTGAAGAAAAACTAGTTTAAAATGTGAGTTTCTGTCACTTTTGATTTTAATAACAGGAAAATATCATTTTCATACAAGCTATAATACTTTTTAATTACATTTCTATATTAATTTATAATAAAAAATGATATTTGATAAAGAATGATTATTTTTATATAATTTCCCATGAAATGGTTAGTGTGGGATTATATTAACCTCTATACCTGTTAACATATGTGCCATGCTAAGATCACACCGGACCCTTTTCTTTTTTCTTTGGATTACAATCATAAAAACTCCCTTTACTATTAAAGTCTTGCATAAAATATCCAATAGAAATAAATAAATCTTAAATTAATAAAATTTATTAAGATACCCTCAAACTATTGTGAAACATTAAATTTGATCTTGTTATTTAATATTACATTAAAAACTATAATTATTATTTTAAAATTATAAAAAGAATATTGGGGCGAGAAATGGATAATCAATCTCTAATGAGATAACAATCCAACTAATATCAAATAGTATTATTATAAAAGAGCATTTTGTAATTTTAAAATAATAGTTATACTTTTTAATTTAATATTAAATAGTAAGATCAAATTTGACATTTCACAATCCATTTAACGAGTAACTTAACCAGTTTTGTTAACTGTTTTTTTTTTATTTTTTTATTTTTTTTTAATTCTACTGGAAATTTATGCAAAAATTTGAAAGTAGTGGGACTTTTTATAATTTTAACCTTTTTTCTTTTTAAAATTAAGTCTTTTTTGTTCACTTGTAACACATGCTATTTCTCTTGAAAAAAGATAGCAAAGTGCGGTGTGATAAAATTTAAAATTAAGTACTGAAAATTTTAAGTGTTGAAGTTTATTTCAGCGTTATCATAAGTAATATTCCTGTCATTTAAAATTTCACTCAATTTAAATGGTTTTTACTATTTACAATGGTATTTAAAATACATTATGAAAAATACTTTATTACATTTAATAGATTCTAAATTAAACACTAAATTGAGTAATCAAATGATACCTTAATCCTCTTTTGTACATGTTATTTTCTTTTTCCACTTTCATTGTAATTTGTAACAAAAGAGAAAAATACAAATTTTATAGAATTTTAAAAAGGAAAAAGCTTGCCTTAGGCCATATAAGTAGGCATCTCCTTCTTATGCTGATATGGACCAACAATTGCATGACTTGTGTCCAAAAAAATTAAAAAAATTAAACTTAAATTATGCTGATCTTTTCACGGATCATCCAAAAGAAAAGAGGATTTTTTATTTTTTTTATTTGTTTGAGATTTTCTCTCCAAAACATTAGATCACCCAAATGTTAATATAGAAAGAAAACCATTCATATTGCTATCCGTTACACAAGAAACTAAACAAAAAATAAAAAAAAAAAAAAAAAAAAAAAAAATTTGGGAAATCAACCCCCGACAATTTTATAGAAATTTTAAAGAAGTTAATTTGCCTTCAGATAAATAATTGTCATCTTGTGTCATTCTAGAGATAGGATTGCAACAGAGGCAATGAATGTGTCTCCAAATTCCAGTAGGCGTTGCCTTCAAAGCGGAATCAGCACATGCCCTGGTACTCTTGTTATGCTCTAGTGGTGTGCATCTTTGATTCTTGGGATTGCTTTCCATTTGAATTAGGTAACGGCCTCGACACGAAGGATCAATTCTCTCGTTGCTGATTGGCATCTATATGTATACCCGTCTGTCTTGAATAATCTCTAAACTTTAAAGTTTGCAATTAAAGTATTAGGGTTTGAGAATGGAGGAGATCAGCAAGCAGGGAGGTCGGTAGAAGAGATAATGATATTATGGTTTCAGAATTAGGAAGATAGTGGTTATCAATGGCGATTTGATGGAAAGAGAGAAGGAATCATGATTGAGAGAGAGAGAGGGTTCTCCAGACTCACACATGCGTATGAGGGAAAATCTCAAACAAATAAAAAAATAAAAAAATAAAAAATCCTCATTTATTTTGGATGATTGGTGAAAAGATCTGCATAATTTAAGTTTAATTTTTTGGGACACATGTCATGCAATTGTTGGTCTATATCAACATAAGAATGAAATGCTTACTTATATGGCCTAAGACAAGCTTTTTCCTTTAAAAAATAAAAAAAAATGAATATATTTTTATCCTTTCTTCTTATATTCGAATTCTGAGACTAGAGGAGGAACCATTGTACAAAACTTATTGAAATAAGTCATGTCTTTAAATTTTGAATCTGATCAAATTTTGAGACCATAATTCAAAATTTATTTATTTATTTTATTTTATTAATAAACCCTAAATCCTAAAGGCCATAATAACCCAAACGTATTCCTGCTCTACTCATTTTGGGGAGAGAACCGAGGGAATCAGCCATGGAAACAGAAACCAGACACTCGCAAACAACTGAATCGCAGAGACTTCCAGACGATCTCTTATGCAACATACTCTCTAGACTTCCCGTTCTGAATCTTATGCAATACAGATGCGTAAGCAAATCATGGCAATCTATGATCTCCGATCCCCAATTCATCAAAACCCACCTCCACCAATCAACCCAATCCCTCGACACCCAAAGACTCATGGTCACACATCCCTTTAATGGCTATTTTATCTCCTTAGACTACGAATCTTGTCATGAATCGAAATGGGTCGTTTCGCCGTGGAAGTCCTCGTACTCCTATGCTGAGGTGTTGTGTTCTTGCGATGGTTTGTTTCTACTGCGTTTACATTACAAACCCTTTAGGTCGCCCAACAAAACTAGTAACAAGGAATTTGTTTTGTGGAATCCAAGTATTAGAAAGTATGTGAAATTTTCTTGCCCTTATAATGCTATAAATTATATTTCTAGTGAGCTTTATGGACTCTGTTTCGATTCATCCACAAATGGTTATATAGTGATTATTTTGTCCCGAAGGTTTGGAATTTGCGTATGGGTCTTTGATTTGAAAACCCTTTCTTGGAAAGATATAAGTGACTCTTCGTTTTCAATTTCGGATCGTGAGAATGGGGTCCTTGTGAATGGAGCTCTGCATTGGATTGTGACTTCTAAAAAGTGTGATTCCCCTGTGATTGTTTATTTTGATTTGATGGTTGAAAAGTTTAAGGAGGTGCCTAAACCGGATTATGGGAGCAAATTTGTTAAATTCGGTTTGGTGGATTTGAGTGGATGGCTTTGTCTATATGGATGGACCGATCAAACACAGGTTGACATATGGGCAATGAAAGAATATGGGAAGAAGGAATCATGGACTAAATTGATTGTCATCCCAGCTAAAATAGGAAGCAATATTTGCTTCTTAAAGCCTTTGTGCTTGACAAAAACAGGTGAAGTTTTGGTAGAAATTAACAACAGCGAACTAGCAATCTACAATCCAAAAGAATGTACATTTAGGACTTCAATATGCTTGAAGGGTGTTCATAGTACTATGTATGTGGAAAGTCTAGTTTTACTATATGATGGCATTGATACCACTAAGGTGCGGCACAAGAAAGTGAATCCAAACAGAGTATACAGAAACAGGTAGAAGACAATTTAATAAACTTTGTTCTTTATTCTATTTTTCCCATTTCTAGTTGGTATCTATTTGTATATGTGGATTTGTTAGAAATTATTTTTACCATATATAGGTAGGTTAAAATAGTTGCATGTCCAAATAGAAACAGGGTTGGCACTTTTTTGTCTCTAACTAAATGCATAATTGCATTTTGATGAAGTCGGTTTTTTTTATTTTAATAATTTTTTTAATTTCCTGGATGAACCTTGCATTGTCAACTTACCTTTCTTTTCATCATTGTGATTCTTTATGCGTTTGTTAATCTTAAAATGAAGTTGCTATTTAACTTTTGAAATATGAGCATCTCAGACATTGCAGCCTATAACTATGAAAGATCTTGGGTCTAAAAGCTTCAAGAATTAAGTAATAGAATGATTGCTAGGCTGAATAGAGTTCTATGGTTGTATGGGAATATCGGGGGATTCTCTATGGGGCACTTATATTTTGGAATAGAGTAATCATGACGTACAGGGTTTTCCTTTGTCAGCGTAACATAACATAGGATTGAACCCTTAATTTGAGGGAAGCGCATGAGATATGCGATACTATTTGCAGTTCTTTGTTTATTTCAGTTTCCCATACAATCATGTATGTGATCGGGCATCCATGTGTGCATATTATACTTAAAAATGAAATTGTAAATAATATTTCCAGTTTATATTGAATGGAATGTAAAATTATAATGATTATATGTCAATAAAAATATTTTGAACTAAAAATATCGGATTTTGCCAACAAGAAGTTGAATTATTGCACCTACTCGATTAATAGTAGTCCCTACCAACTGTGCAATTTCTTCTGGTTTAGTTTTCTTTTGGGCTTTAAGTACTATTAGCAAATAGAGGATCCTAGATCATTTTTGAGTTGGGTATTTTTATAATGTGGTTATGCATTGTGGATACTCTCTAGTTTGTGTTATTTTCTCTTGCTACCTATCTTCTTGGTCACCAAATTAATCTTGGTGATTTTTGTGGCAATAATCATTCTAATTATTGAGTATTACCATGTGATTACACTGCTTGCTTTTACTTTATTGATTGCAGGCCTTAAGAAACATAACTTAGAGTTGAATTTCTAAGGTTATAGGCAAGAGCATTTCTTCTTGGGGTGTGATTTTTGATGATTTCGTCGTCTAATGTTAAGCAAAGAGAGTGCATCATGTTTTGGAATTCAATCTAGGCATGTGCTGCGATTTCTCCATAGTGAAGGAATTTTCTCAGACTTCCTGGTTGTTTCCACAATACTCTTACCATTATATCATTCTTGGTAGTTAGTTCAAGTTGAACACGAGGAATGGTTTGCACGGGGCGGGCGGGGCGGGTTGTGACAAATTGATATCAAAGCCAGTTCTCCGCCAGAAATGGGGGGCGTGCACAAGCCCATAAGAGACATGGTGACGTCTCACGCTGCCTAGTGGAGGGAGAAGTTGTTGAGACTTATATGTGTAGACACCCTTTAACCATGTACACACATTTTGAGGAAAATCGTGAACACCGAGACAAAAGAGTGTGCAAAGCAGACAATATCTATATGACGGGGTTGGTCGTGACAAATTCAGGAACCACCTAATGTATTTTTATAAAATGTTAATTTTTATGCCCTGATGGCCTCATACTACTTTTGGTACTAAGTGATTTATTGTGAGTTAAGTCTTTTTTCCCCTTTAATAATAGAATGTAAGGTCAAAAGTATTTGAACCTGTATTCTATGACAACCAAAGGTCCAAAGTAGATTTTTATTTTGTATTTTTTTGTCAGCTAATTTCCAATTATATTCCAGTACAATTTTTAAGTTGATTTGTTGTCATGGATTTTTCCATAATCTAAGGGCATAGCTTCATTTGGTAAAAAGGATGGACAAGTGGGTGGAAGGTATGGTAGGCATCTGTCAAAAGGATGGCGTTCTTTACCCTTTTTGTTTAGTTGAGTAAAAGGGACTAGAAGGATGTGATACATTGCCATTGTATGGTTAGAGTGAAGGAAAGGAGATGTTTTATATTTTTTTTACCATTGTACCATCATTGTGTAATTTGGAAAAACTAGACAAATAATGTCATATTACATAATATAAAATATTATCCATTTTTTTCTCCCCTTTTTCCATCCAATTTTGGAGGGACTAAAAAATGGTTATCTAGGAGTAATGCCTTATCCATCAATCCTTTCCTTCCCTCCAACTCTCCTTATTACCAAACAATAGTGACTTCCTCCATCTCTCCTCTCTTATCCCCCTCCCCTTCACTCCCTCCTAACAAATGCAGTGTAAACTAAAATAATACACGTTATATGTTTATAAAATGTAATGTGCATTGCATATCTCAAACTTCAATGTTTACAAGCGTCCGTATGTTTATGTCTTTTGTTTATTAAATGAAACAAATTTAAATCATGAATAGATCTTCATTATGGTTGAATAGATTGGACATGCTCATGTTGTGGGTGAATGAGTGAATAACTGTTCTGTGCCTAACGTAGTAACTAGTTTTCTACTCACTTCATGATGTGACCCTGCTCTTATGAGGTCGCATATGCTTGTAAAAGAAACTTAGTCACTTATTCTTATTAGATCAAATGGCTAATTTGATTTGAACTAGGGTCATGATTTGATCTATTGACAAGTCTATATGAAAGTCCTGCACAACTATATATATGGCTTTTTTATATAAAGATCTAACACTTTTATCTTTATTCCTCTAATCTCTTTGAAGTTTTTGGTGCTCTTAGGAAGGGTTGTAACATTTTCCTATTACCTTCTTGCTGTTAAAAATGTTTTTTTCCCCCTTCTTCTTTGTCTTCTTAACTTATATACCTATGGTGTTTTATTTTTTTAGAAAAATGAACACTTGTGGATGATTATACCACAGGAATTTAGAAAATATATATATATATATATATATATTTTAAATACTAATATATTATTTTTTCCTTGTTTCAGATTGAAGAAATAGAATTGTTTGCTGGTTCTTCTCCTGATTTTGCTTGGATAATGTGTATATGGAGTTAGGGTTTGTTCGGTTTTTAAAATTTGTGCTTAGTTTAAAGCAGGCTTAAAGGTTTAAAATGTCTGGATTTTTCATGGTGGTTAGGAATTGTATCAGCAAAATACAAGCACTTGCTATTTGGTTCAGAGATCAATCCCGAACCTGATGGATCATTCCTTTTGCTGATAGACGAAATCTCAAATCAAACCATTTGTCCTTATTTCAACAAAAGAAGCATGAGCAAACTGCGTGGACGAAGTTCAGGATGTTTTAATCAGAAATTTGATGATATTGAACTTGCGGCATTGTCAAACAAGCATATGATGTTTTCTGTGGGAACTGTTGTCTGCCATTTTTGTATGGGTCAATAGCTTGATTCGTTGTTGCAGTTGTGATTGCCTTCTGAAATCCTAAAGTATTGTAGTTTAACACTTTACTGATTTTTCACATACATGTATTTATGTGTTTATATTGTATCTAAATCTTGACATAGTTTATTTCTCATGCTCATCAGTTGATGACCTTCTATTGTCTGTTTTATTTATTTATTTTATTTTTTTAACTTTGTAAGTGGATCAGAATTTATTTTTTCTTTCTAGCTAGAAGAATTTCTCTCTCAATATACAGTAAATTGGACTATCAGTTTGCCATCATTTATATTAACAAGCTGTATAAGTAAAGTTAGTCTGTTATTGAACCAAAAGCTTTATCAACACCGGCAACTACTCATTCTCTTACTAGGCACTTTTACGTGGATGTAAATTATTTTTTTAAAATTATTTTTTTATTTTTTGGTATTTGATTGTTGTAAAATACTTACAAAGACAAAAAAATATTAAAATATATATAACATAAATAACCTACCACGCCTCACCGGATAGACTTAACCTCAATCTCTACTTAAATTTTTGTTAAATATATAAAAAGTTTAAAATATATATATTTTACCAGAAAAAAAAAGAAAGAAAAGAAAATCACATATGTAGAATGTAGAAAAAACTAACGATTTCAAATTTAAATAAAAAAATCACATATGTAGAATGTAGAAAAAACAACCCACTAGCCTTGGCTTAAAGAAAAAAAAAAGAAAAGAAAATCACATATGTAGAATGTAGAAAAAACTAACGATTTCAAATTTAAGTAAAAAAATCACATATGTAGAATGTAGAAAATACAACCCACTAGCCTTAGCTTGTGGGTCATGTTAGTTTTGGGCTGAAAACTTTTAATTAATCAAGGTTTCTAATTGATTATTTATGCACAATACATGTAAGTGGAGGCTCTATTTTTTTATTTATAGATTTGTTATAGTGAATTGTCAAACCTATTTCTTTTAAGAGTAATGATGATACTTGCACCGATTTGTTGCAGTGAATTACATAACCGAATATTGTTGATTAGTTATGTATACATAATACATGCAAGTGGAATGCCCACTTTGTTGATCAGTTATTTATACATAATACATGTAAGTGGAGGGCCCACTTCTTTATTTATGCATAAATGGATCAATTAAAAAAAATAAGTCTGACATTTCATTACAACAAATCACATAAATAAAGATGTATTGTGCATAAGTAATTAATCAGAAACATTAATTATTTTTATACCTATTTCTAGATTAGTTTCCTTATAGGATTAGATTTTAGTTCCCTAATAGGATTAGATTTTAGATTTTAGTTTCCTCCTAGTGTTGAGTTTTCTCTATTTTAAATATTCATGCATTGCAAAAGGAAAATTTAAAATATTTTATCAATATTTCAGAATTTCATATGAGATTATCTCCAACATTCTAAAACTTTCTGCTACCCTATATATATAGCCTAAAACCCTTAACCCTTCTTCCAATAAGAGCCTCAAACCCTCTGCATAAACCCTTCGAAGAGCCAGATAACGCTGCAAGGGAATGGGAAGGATGAGAAAACAAAGAAAGCCAGCAATTGAAGGTGACACGTCAAGTCTTCCATGCGAAATCATATACAATATACTCTCGAAATTACCCGTCAAGTCTCTGTTGCGATTTAGATGCGTGTGTAAATTATGGCGTACTGTAATTTTTGAACCCGAATTTGTAAAATCACATGTCAATGAATCCATCAAGTTAGACCGTCAAAGAATCATTCGTTGGGACACAATTTCCAAGTGTTTCTACCCCTAGGCTATGAAAGTTGTGATGCTTTAGAAAAAAAACTATGCTTTCCCTTTCCATGTAAGAAGTATAGGACGCCTAGAGTGATGGAGTGATATGTTCTTGTAATGGTTTAGTATTGTTGCGTCTTTATAAGGAGAAGATGTGTGTACTATGGAATCCATCCACTAGAAAATACAAGAAGTTCTCATGTCCATCTCATATCTGTCTCAAGTATAAACCACGTGGACTTTGCCATGATTCTTTCTTGGATGATTACAAGGTAATATTTATCCATAAGAGTCATTATAAGAAGAATTTTTTTGTGGTTTTTAGTTTCAGAGGTCATTGTTGGACAGAGCCCAAGGAGCTCCCTTATTTGGGTTTTCCCGGCAAGATGGTCATTGCAAATGGAGTGTTTCACTTGGTTGCTTCTAAACTCTTCTGACCCCGATTCCTCTACTAGTTCTTCTGACCCTTCTAGTGATTCCTCTACGAGTACGAGTTCTACGAGTTCATCAGATAGTGATGACAAAGGCCAAGAAGAAGATTCATACCAATCATCCCGTGCTGCTGTTTCAAAACATCTTTCCTCTGACATCTCCTCCGACTCTCCAGAACCTTCTGATGATGATGATGGAACTTCTTCGTCTGATGATGATGATGGAACCTCTCGAAAAAGGACAGGAGGATTGGGTATGGTTGGAACCTCTCCAAATCGTCCACCAACTTTTATGTTAGTCGACGACAAAAGCTCCCACCACTTCTATTGTCCTCCTTCCTCATCATATAAGTGTGATTCCACATATAAGCGTGATTCCACAAGAACATATGTGATTGTGTACTTTGATACGGAGGATGGAGAGTTCAAGGAGATGCCACTACCAAGTTGTATCAATGGAGGAGAGATGTTTAGTTTGACGGTTATGGGAGGATGCCTCAGTTTATATTTTAGAACAATTAACAGGAAATATGTTGAGGTGTGGACTATGAAGCAATATGGTGAGCATAATTCTTGGACCAAGTTATTTGTCATCCCACATTGCCTAGGAACAACACAATTAAGTTATTTGACGCCGTTGTGCGTAACCAAGGAAGGTGAAGTTGTGATGAGAATTGATGGAGAAAGAATATGCATCTATAATCCTAAAACGAACAAGTGCAGGAGAATTGGGCTAGCAGGGTCATGGGCTCCAAGTGTGGTTTTATACGTGGATAGTTTAGTTTTGCCCATTCCAACACCTCGAGTAAAAGGAAAGAGGAAAAAAGAATTGTAATGAGGTAAATCAAATAATCTCTAATTTTATAGCTTCTCTTCAACTTCTACGTTAATTAATTCATGTCTTTTGATTGTTTTGTTAATTTGATATTACTTCTTGAAAGAAATATATGTTCTTTTGGTAGGAAAAATTGTCGTAATTGTTGTGTTATTGTTTTTGTTGGGTTAATTGGTATAATTAGACCGAATATACCCTACTTCGATCATAATAATGTTGAAGATAATGAAGGCATGCATTGGCAAATAGAAACAGGGCTGACTTATGTGTGTTTATATGTGCGCGTGTATATATATATATATATGTTGATATTGTAACTAAATGCATAATATTTTTTCTTTCGAAAAGAATTTCTCACTCAATATACTTGTGAAAAAATTATTCAGAAATTACTGTTCCTGTATAAAGATTTTTTAAAATTTAAATTTTTTGTGTGGTTTTTCTTTTCTTATATATATATATATATATATTTGGGGATCGACTGATCGAGCTTATTTTTTTTTAATTTTTCTCTCATGTTCAAACAGAGATTCAATTCGAGATACATAGCAAGGACACACAAGCTTATACCTAGTTTGTTTTAATAATAGAGATCTCAGGAATTAGAAGCCGTAAGTATTGGGTTAGATTTCATAAGGCATTTATTTCTCTATTTTTGCAGTAATGACATTTGCAGTTTGTCCATATTTCTTTCTTTGTAATGGTTTTAGCATATTGATATTTTAACATTGATATAAAGTTCTATTTTATTTTTTTCACCTTCTCTCAAAGAATTGTTTTATTCTCCCTTAGCATGAGGGAAAAAAAATAAATAAATAAAAGAAATGATTTATTCCATATTTCTCCATTTATACAAGATATGTTTTTGATGGATTTGACTACTTTCAAACCAGTAAAGATCATTCTCTAGACAAAAAATGTTGTTCATGCGGCAGCAAGGAGGCAATAATTACGAGATATTCTAAGAAAATAATTACAAACAAAAAGGAGGCAATAATTACAAGATGTTCTAAGAAAATAACTACAAACAGTCGTAATAATTTAGTAACATAAAAAAATATTTTCATATCACTAATTCGGCCACACACACACACACACACACACACATATATATATATATTTGGTGATTGCCCAGCATATAGGTTATGATGTTATATTGCATGGCGATACAGAGCATGGCGATACAGAAATGAGAGTTGAATCCTCCTTCTGGGAGGAGTTCTATGCACCAAATTATATTGCTTTGGTACACTGGCACATAACTCAGTGCTGATCATATGTTAAAGTTTCGTACAACTCGCTTTGAAGTCGTGATGTGTATTAAGCAAAGATGTTAAAGTTTCGTACAACTCGCTTTGAAGTCGTGATGTGTATTAAGCAAAGATGTTAAAGTTTCGTACAACTCGCTTTGAAGTCGTGATGTGTATTAAGCAAAGATGACGATGATATAAAAAATTCTACTAAGGAATAGCATCCTATCCAATTTGATTTTTGTACAGACCACTTACAAATGATATCTATTAACCATCTAGCCATTTCTCTATAGAATTAAAAAAACAAATGATAGCCTGTCTTAGCTACAAAACTCCAACTTAATTATGTAGTTTTCATTTCTTTTCATTTTGAAAAAATCCACATAATTTCAACCAAAGTCCTACAAAATGTCCCAAATCAACTAGTTTATTTATTTATTTTTGACATTAGCAAAAAAAAATGCTCACACATTCACTTGCCCTTATGAACACTTAAATCCTCAAAATTTTATTTTGAAAGGTGAGAAAGTATTACCTGGGTACACTTTTGGTCAGCTAGTTGAATGGTCACTCCGTTACACAATACCAATTTTTAACAATTTTGAATAAAAAGAAAAAAAATCTTTTGAAAATCATATAGCAAGCATGAGCTAGTGGGAAGCCAAAAAAGTTTTTGAATTGATTCATGAAATTTTCAAAAAAGTTGATTTTCATGTCATCGTTACAACAGTTGCAATGAATAATTTTTCGTGGATAAAAAATAAAAAGTCTCTAGAATGTTGCAAAATTGTGATTAAATAAGCAGTGTAAAGCAATCCTATTTGTTGTGTAAGTGATCGGATGATAACACAAAGTGAAATGACATAGAAGAGAATTGGGGTTCTTCTATCTCAACCAAAAATATTTTTATTTTTCATCCTGTGACATGAATTTCAAGTGAGTTTAATATATGTTTTCCAATTTTAAGAACAAAAATTTTGGGGGACTTGACTGATCAATCTTTTGTAGAAATTAAAAATTCTTTCTTTTACTTTTAACACCACTAAGCCACATCCCACATCCTTATAGTAATTAAAAGAGGTTGTTTTTTATTACTAGTATTATTATTATTATTTTTCACGAGAAAGAAATACTCACATTAGTCACGCATTAACTTTAAAAGTTAGAGAGAAAATATCAATAGACTTTATGTTCTTGGTTAATCAAAGCAGTTGAAAGTAGGAAAAATATAATCCTACATTTGAATATACGCCAGAGAAAGTCTACAATACTCCCATTTTAAAATAATTACCTTAAAAGATAAAAAAAAAATCTAACAATCTAAAATAAATAAATTGTCACTCGAACTAGGGCTAATTTGGGACAATGGAAATGAAGAAAAAAAAAATAGTAATAGAAGGAGATGAGAAATTATGTTTGCAATGAAATGTTGGAAAGAAATGAAAAGAGGAAATGGAAGGGAAGGAAAAAAAAAATGTTAGTATGTTTGATTAAATTTTATTAATGTTAAATTTGTTCTTATTTTGTAAAAGAGTTTTTTATATTTTTTATAGAAAATGATATGAATTGTAAATTTCTTAAAAAGATAAATTTTTATTTTTTTTCCAAACACTTCGTTAACCAAACAAACACGAGTACTTATTTTTTCCTTTTTATTTATTTATTATGTCCTTTTTGTCATCCTTCCCTTTCCCCCGTAACCAAACATAGCCTAAGTGGTAGCGTAGCATTTTCGTATCAATGAAGTGGAAGCAGCCATTTTACATCTGCAAATTGGCCTCTGTTTTTAACCTCAAACCCTAACCGTTTTCTGCATTTTTGTCTTCCTACTACACTAATCACAACCCAAAACCCTCTATTGCTTACATACGAATCACAACCCAAACAAAACCCTGAGAAATTGGCCTCTGTTTTTAACCTCAAACCCTAACCGTTTTCTGCATTTTTGTCTTCCTACTACACTAATCACAACCCAAAACCCTCTATTGCTTACATACGAGTCACAACCCAAACAAAACCCCGAGAAATTTCTAATTGGATATACAAATATCCTAAAACAGCAGCTAAAGATGTCAGACATTCCGATGGATGTAGTCGCCGACATACTCTCAAGGTTACCAGTGAAACCTCTTATACGATTCAGGTGCGTGTCTAAACCCTGGTATGCCCTAATCGACAGTTCTGGTTTCGTAAAATTACATCTCAAAAGATCAAAAGAAACGAACACCAATCGCAGCCTCATTCTAAAAAGTGACAAACTCTACTCGGTAGACTTGGATTCGCTCGATCATGCCGTTGAGCTTGGGCATCCGTTCAACTATAAGGGATTTGACATAGATGTGTTGGGTTCTTGCGATGGGTTGCTCTGTTTGTACGACCCATTCTACTCAGCTCACTTCGTCTTGTGGAACCCGTCGACCCGAAAACTCCACAACTTACCGACCTCGCGGTTTGAGTTTTCAGGTAATCCCTGCTCCCTCTCTGGTTTTTTATTTGTTTACGGGTTTGGGTATGACGCTGTCTATGATGACTACAAGGTGGTGAAGATGGTACAGTATTATGGCAAAGATGATCATCTTTTGGATCGTGAACTTAAGGATTTTAGAGAAGTTAAGGTTTATAGTATGAAATCGAATTCATGGCGAAGGGTTAAAGATTTCCCATATTACCTCTCGAAATATCAAATAAGTGGTGTGTTCATTAGTGGGGCTCTGCACTGGGTTGTGAATCAAAGGTCAGAATCACCATCATGTATGGCTGCGCTGATTGCTTCTTTTGATATTGGATCTGAGGAATACGGATTGGTTCCAATGCCTGAATTTTCAGATAAGAATTTTTACATGACTCTGATTGACTTGGGAATATGCCTTTGTGTATTTTGCGAATACGTTAGCCATGCTGATGTATGGGTGATGAAGGAGTATGGAGTAGAAGAATCTTGGACTAAACTGCTTTCCATTGCAAAAGGGGGTGAGATTATGTCATTTCATCATCGAATGCCTGTAGCATATTCAAATAGCGGCAAGGAAGTAATATTGCGACAGGATGGTGCAGAGCTTCTATTGTACGACTTTGAAAAGGAAAAAGTAAAAAAGATTAAGATTCCCGGCCTTCCGAGGTTTGGAAGTACACATTTATGCTTGGGAAGCCTTGTTCCGCTGCATGGTGTTGGTGCCCTTTGTGGTGTTGGTGGAAGTGATGAGAAGAATCAGCAATCACAAAAGAAGAGTAAAAAGAAGGGTAGAATGAGCTTGTGCTCTTGCCTAAATTATTTGAACTGTTAAACTATCTTATGTCATAGCAGTTCACACAAGTAACTGGAAGAAGAAATAGAGTGGGAGGGAGAAGTTGGACAGGTAAGTTAATAGATTTTGGCAGAATGTTTTATAGTAGTTTGTAGAGCTGATTTTTTTATTTTTTATTTACTTTAACTTGCCTACATTGGCTAGTTTTAAGCCTAATGATATTATATCTTATGGGTGATTTTCTAATTATGTGAACATAGAGAGATTAAATGCTTGATGCTAAAGGGAGGATGCATATGAGATTATCCATTTTGTGCAATATTACTTATTAAATCTAATCAATCACAATGCTCCCCATAAGTATCTAATATGAACTATTGTGATTCTCTCAAGATTGAGCTGGATCAATGGGGCTGTACTTGGGCACATTGCAAAGTTTGAGGATGGAAGTAAAGAAAGAAAGATAATTGGAGAATGTTTCTTATGGTATCATATATGTTATTTTTTGTTAATCCATGTAATCTAAAGTTCAATGTTTGATTATAATAAGCGTATGAAACAGTGTCAACCGACAAGTAATAGGTTATAGTTATGTTAGATTTTATTTTATGCAGTATACATGAAGGTTTGACATTACTATGTTTGAGTGTGTCTTGAATTTCTTTTGTTGGAACTCATGTTGAGGGGATATGAATGCCTTTTTCTATATTGCTGAACTCTTCATAATGAATAATTCTTTGGTAATATTAATATGGCTATAAATTGATAACTTTAAACTTAGCCGGGATACAAGTATCTCACCATTGAACTTTTAGTGGACAATGTTTTTTCAAAATTTCCATAAATTCCTTTGATATCTAAGGGATTGTTTAGTAATGTTAATGTTTAGTGCTTGTTGTTGCCAAAAGGCTGAAAATGATGAAGATGTCTATTAAACGTAAGTTGTGAATTTGTTTACGTTGTCAAATTCTGAAAATATGTTTATAAAATGTCCCAAATTTGTAAAGACCAAAAAGTTCGTTACAAGACAATTTTCAAATAGTCAGCCCATACCAGTTTTCTCAAAAAATGTCTCTTTACAGTTCCCAATAATTCATCTAAAACCCTATAGCGTTTTTATTTTCTTTCTCCTCAACAGTCCGTTATATATCTCTCCTCAACCATCCTCTTCTCTTGTGATTTCAGACGCCCCAAAACCCTAGATTGCTTGGGTGTTGTTAGTATCACGAATCAAGATAGCATGAAGCAAACATTCAAGTTGCTAGGGATTTTATTCGTCGAGTGTGCAAATTTTGTGGGCAGTGGTAATCTTGAATTTAATGGTTATTCTAGAGTGTATTTGGCTTCTTCCATTTGAGTTGGATGGTTAAGAGTGAAGGTGGGCATGGAATAATTATCCTATATCTTATTCTTACAGCATTCTTTGAGAGGTTTTGTGCTTGCATATGATGAAAATAATGATATCTGATATGGGTAATTGCGATTGATATACCAATGAGGGATCACATAGTTTTGCTTTCTATCAAACATGTTTCCGGTTTTCTGGTTACAAAATTTTTAAATGCTGTTTCTATTTTCCGAAAATTAATAGTTAAACACAAAGACTAATACACATCTACTAAGCATTAAACATGAAAAACATAAATGTTGCGAAGCAACCCCGATAATCTTCGTAACACCTTTCTGGTTAAATGAATAATAAATTAGTGCATCTTATATTCTTTTCCCCAAATTTTCAGTAGTATAGTCAAAAGGACAACCATAGCTATATTTTTCAGAATTCAAGTTGATTCATTTTGCCCACACCCCTAACAGAAGGAAGAAAAACATGAACTAAAATTATGTGAATAATCATATCAGGCAGAGTCTTAGTAGCTATAATATCCAGGATATTTATTGGCTGGAATCTGTATGGATTTATGAGGTGCTAGTGCTGGAATATTTTCGGACTGTTGTGAGTTTAATGTAGGAGAAAGATAAACTGGTGTTGATCAGCCGCCATCAGGATATTGTTGTTAAACTTGTTATATAATGAATTTATGCTCCTGAGAACTACTTCTAGACTTACACTGCTTCTTTAATGAGATGATCAATTTTTATTCATCGAAAAAATAGTATAGATAGTATGGTCCTTTCTCTTATAATATAATAACAGAGGAATCTGAACCTTAAAACTGGATGGTAGCACTGAACGTGCAAAAACAGGGTGTGATGTCATGACTCTTTTATTTTTTCCATATTTTCTGAAGTAAAATAATGTGGCATTTTCTTTCTCTTTTCTTTTTAATTGTCTCATAATTAACAGCTACGATTTATTAGGTGGATGTCAGTTTGATTGGGAGGCTATCATTGGATTTTTGTTCACCCTTGCAATTCTAGCTGCTACTTGTGTTTCATTAACATGTTGTTGGTTTAGGGAAGTGATCTAAATTTGATAAGATGTAATGAATTATTAAGCATACTAAAGATTTTTGCCGCCAATATTAAACTGTAAATGATGTCTTGTAACCAATAGTTTTAGGAGCTTGAGGCATATTACCCTTTTGGCTCTTAGTTTGTTCGATTTGGCACAGATGACTTCCATATGGTGGGTGATTTCTGATGTTAAAATTAGTTTTGAATTTTAGACTGCTAAGACATATCACTGATGTGCAATCATCTATAATATGGGTTTCATATAAAATATAGATGACATTTTATGGGCTTGAGGTAGTTTTATGTTTCTGGCCGATTAGGCGACCAGGACCAAATTCAATTTTTTTATTGATCAAAATTTTCTGGCTGAAACATATTGTGCATTTTCGCAATAAAAGTGGCAGTTCATTATTGTTTTTACGATGGGTTGCTTTGTTTGTTTGACACACACTACACACCAGAAGACATTGTCTTGTGGAACCGGAAAACAAAATTACCAAAATCACTGATTGAGATTTTGAGTAAATCCTGCTATTGCTGTAGGGAACACTTCTTCCGTGGCCATGTCATTGTTTATGGGTTTGGGTAAGATGTTGTCAACGATGACTACAAGGTGGTGAGGATGGTACAATATCAGGGCAAAGATGATTATGCATTTGATTCTGAAGTTAAGGTTTATAGGTGAAATCGAATTCATGGTGAAGGGTTAAAGATTTCCTTTATCTCTGGTACTGGTGAGTGAATGGCGTTTTCATTGGTGGGGCTGTGCACTGGATTGCGAATGAAAGACCAGAATCATCATATATTGCCCACCTGATCGCCGCTTTTGAACTTGTATCTCAGGAATATGGATTGGTTCCGACGCCTGAATTTTCAGATAAGCATTTTAGAATGAATGTGGATGACTTGGTTCTGACGCCTGAATTTTCAGATTAGAATGAATGTGGATGACTTGGGAGGACGCCTTTGTATATATTGTGATTATTTTGACGGCCATGTTGATGATGTATGGGTGATGAAGGAGTATGGAGTAAAGGAATCTTGGCTAAATTGTTTTCCTCCTTTGCGCAAGGGACTGTGATTAAGTCATATCGTTGTGTGAAGCCTATAGCATATTCAAAGAATGGTGGAGAAGTAATTTTGGAACAGGACAATACAATGCTTATTCGGTGCGACTTAAAGAAAGAAAAAGGCAAAAGGATTAAGATTCATGGCTTTCCGTATATTCAAAGAACACAGATGTGCTTGGGAAGCCTTGTTCTGCTTCATGGTGTTGGTGGAAGTGACGAGAAGCAGCAGCAATCACAAAAGAAGATGAACAAAAAGAAGGATAGAAAGAAGAGGTAACCCAAAATGAACCTGTGCTCTGCCTATATTATTTGCACTATTAAACTTGATCTTATTTGGCATAGCTAGCTAGTTATAGACGTTTTGATCCTTTAAATGACATGACCAGATATAATATTTTCAATTAAAGATGTTGTTTTAATATATGTGGATTGTATGGAGTAGTGGTGTAATCTTGTCACAGTGCAACTGCTAAGGCCAATGTTGACCATTGAATTACTGCCGTCTAGTAGTGCATAGTTACATACACTAAGAGCTGAGAATTGTGTTACTTTTTTTTTTCCTCTCTTTTACTTACGTTTATGTCACCTAACACCTTATATTGTATTTCGTTTCTCTTACAGATTCCTGATAGAGCAGTCAGAAGAAGAAATAGAGGAGGAGTTAAGTTGGAGAGGTAGGTTAATAGATTTTGGCAGAATATTTTAGATAGCAGTTTATAGAGATGATATCTTTTTCTTTAACTTGCCTACATTGTAGTTTTAAGCCTAATGATATTCTATCTTATGAGTGATGTTCTAGTTCCGGCCAATACACAAGCTTTTCACTTTTCACCTACCCACAAGCTTAACTTCATTTTTCACCAAACCCACAAGCATTTCATTTTTCACCTACTAACCCCACCAGCTTAATTTCATTTGTAAAATGATTTTAAAGCTGAGGAGTTGTAGAGAATTCATTGACCAAATGCTTTTAATTCGTTCATGTATGCAAAATATAAGGAAGTGGGATTCCCCACTTCCTTGTATGTTGCATAAATAACTAATAAAGAGTATTTGGTCAATGAATTCTACCCAACTCATCGACTTGCATATCACTAGTTTTATTTTTCACCCAGTGCAAAGCTCACTCACTCAACACAGCTATATATACCCTCTACCCTTTATCCCAACTCTGTAGTTCTTCCTGCCCTTATCTAAACTCTTAATCCCAACTCATCGTCAAGATACGTATCTTTGTACCCTTTATTATGGTGGTCTCAACCGTAGTCTTTGCAGTTGCCAAGCCTAGTTCTAACTCTAGTGTCACTTGGGACCGGCCACGAAATAGAGCAGTCAATTATGGTTGTCTCAACCATAGTACTTGTAGTGGCCAAGCTGCTGGCCACTAAACCGATCATCCACCATGATAATTTAGTTCTCTCTAACCCTAGTGCCCACACACAAGCAAAACTAACTAGCGGAAGTCTTGACATCAGCCCAGGAACATTTGAAAGGCATGTTCTGCATGTAAGTGCTCGTCTCTGATGAGATAAGCCTAATTGGGATTATGGCTCAATACTATTTCAATGTTGGCTATGACCTAAATAGCATGAAAATATTCTACAGGACTGATCAGACGAGTACTTGGAGTGCTTGGGGAATTTTAATGGTTGTATGTAAAGCTTGCATGAGCAAGGCAAAGATGCCAGATACGCGGAGAAGCTGTGAAGAAGAAGAAGACACACGAGTGTGATGAGCTTGACCAACTGGAGCAGAGAGGAAGTAAAGATTGCCTTTCCAAATACCTTTAGCGAGTAGGCGCCCGATCAGAGATCCTTCACAAGGACGTCGCTACACTAGTTATGGAGAGGATTTTGGCCCGACGGAAGAAGTCTTTTTCCTCCATCGACGGGCGGAGCTAATTAGAATTATCATATGTTATTTGGTTAATTATCATTACATTAACTTTCAGCTTGTAATTGCATAACTAATCATATTGTTTACTATGGCTGACTAGTAATTAGTTTCCAGAGAAAAGTCTGCTCCAGCCTAAAGAGGTACATAGTATAGTAATTATATACTATCGCAATTGTAACAAAGATAAAGGATATACAAATTTCCAATTTAACCAGATTTTCCTTTTAAGCATGACTTCATTCCATGTGAAATGTGGAGTTTAATCATCAAAACTGCGTTTTGCTTTTGCCCACTCTCTAATATTGCGACTTTCAAACTCTATTTTGCAAATTCAGTATGGGAACTAAGTCAATTCTAAATCTTAAAGATTTTATAGACTGTTCAGTCTATGTATATAAACAGATTAAAGTCTAGAACTCCATTGTAGTAGACCTAAAGTTGAAGGTGGTTTAGGGTTCCCCAATATTGAACTCTGGTGTAAATTAGCCTCAAATCTAAAGCATCTCTAGCTTTATATTCTCAAATAAAATTGAAGGGAAAAAATCTAGAGTTTGATGGAATAAAAGGAAGATAAATTTATTTGTAAGAACATCGAAATAATACATAGAAATTCTCAAATAAGAATAACACAGAAAGATATTTAGTAAATAGGATAGAGTAAATTAGAATTTGTTTGATGTATACTTCATATTATTGAATATAAAACAAATTACAAGTATAAAATTGTAATTTATCACACTATTAAAGGGTGGGGTAACCTTTCCATCCCGTCATCCCATAAGCATGCGAGTTTTTATTCGTAACCTTCATCTCTGTTCCAAAAGTATTTAACCTATCTCATAATAGTTCTAAACGGGGTAGGGAATCAGGGGAAGGGGTATTTTGCCATACCAAAAAGTTCAATCAAATACATGGGCCTAAGGCCATGAATATGCTGACACGGGGCTCAATGGGCTTAGCATCAACATATCTAAGGCCTTTTTAAGCGACTGGGTTAGCAACCTCCTCTAAATAGGGGATAATATACATGTGTGCGTGTTTTTCTTTATAGAGGTTGCCGCCACATAACCTAAAACCCTTTCTAGGTTATATAATTCTTTTTTATTTGAAATACAAGTTTTGAATATTTATTAAAAAACAATTTGTCAAGGATACATGAAAAAAAAAAAAAACACACACACACACGCACATACCAAAATGTTTAGCCAAATAAATGGCCCAAGGGCCATAAAAGTCTTTAGATATGCTGACTGGGACACAATGGGTATCACCTCTGCAGTGGTAATTTTTTTTTCTTTTCTTGACAAATTAGGGGAGAGAGAACTCCAGCATTCTTTCTAAATTGAATTGTGTAAAATTAAATGATTTTGAATGCCTAAAAAATAAAACAATAATAATAAAAAATAAAATTTAGGCATAAATATAAATTTTAAAGTTTCTAAAAATAATCATTACCGGTTTTTTTGACGGGTTAAACCAAATTACAATTTTTTTTCCCTTACGATTGTTTCTATACTCAACCTCCATTTGAAATTGAAAAATTACTAAATTTATTTAAAGAATGTACTATATCAATTGTTAAATAGGGAAGGAATAGGAGTTTAAAATATTATATAGAAATTTGATGTTAACCTAAATTTGAATAGAGCATGTACCTATTTCTTATCAAAGTAAACTTTTCTAGTGGATCTATATTTGGTAATGAGTTTCTCCAAGTTCCCAACACCTAATACAGCTTACAGTTTTTTTTTATCATTGGTGGAAAATATATAAAAATAAAAAAAAGATTAAAAGTTTGTGAATACTGCAAATTTAGATTGGTGTAATTTTGTGTCACTTATGAATTTTAATTGATTTGTATATTGTTTTACATATTGAATAAAAATTAAGTATTTGATTGATTGATATAGATAGACTAGAATTTCAGACAGAGGTGTGTAGAGAAAGAGGTGAAGGGAGAGAAGAGGGTCATGCTAAAAGAGGAATTCCAAAAATTTAAATCAGGAAAGAAAAAAATTGAGTTTAGGTTTAACCCCATTGAATAATAAGCATTATTAAAAAATTAAAAATTTAGAGATGTTTCTAAATTATATTGGATATAAGAACTTCATCCTCCCTTGGAGGATTCACATAAAGTCATTGGACTCAATGGTCCCACATCAACAAATAAGTTCGGCTGTTAGCAATCTTGTATAACTAGTAGTGTATATATATATATTTGTGTGCGCGCGCGCGCTCATGTTCAGAGGCGGTCAAATATACCTAAAACTCTTGCTGCGTAAACCCTTCTGCCGCTGCAAGGGAATGGGTCCAACGCGAAGGATGGGAAAAGAAAAAAAACCGGCAAGTCTTCCATTCGACATCATATACAGTGTACTTTCAAAACTACCAGTTAAGTCTCTCTTACGAATCAGGTGCGTTTGTAAATCGTGGTGTAGTGTAATTTCGGATCCCCAATTCATGAAAACCCACCTAAAAGAATCCACTAAATTGAATCGCCAAAGACTCTTTTACTGTGGGTACTATCCGGAGCGTTTCTACTCCATAGACTACGAAATCTCGAATATTAAGTCAAAAGAAAAGATGGACTTGCCACATAAGACGTCGTCTATTATCCTGTGTTCTTGTAATGGTTTAGTTTTATTAGGTCTTGACGATGGCCAGACGTTTGTTTTGTGGAATCCATCCACCAGAGCATACGTAGAGTTCTCAAGTCCACGTCCGTATGTTTATAGATTCCGAAATATATGTGGACTATGTTATGATTCTTTTCATGATGATTACAAGGTGGTTGTTATAACTAGACCTAGTGCTGACGAATATCTTTACAATGTTTACTCTTTCAGGGGTGAATCTTGGACACAGGGTAGAAAGTTCCTATATTCTCCTTCTCACTATGAAGGTGGCGGTGTTAATGCGAAAGGAGTGTTTTACCTTAAAGCTACCCCCGTTGGTGAAAGAAGATATGCAATTTTTTTGTTTGATGCAGTGAATGAGAATTTCAAGGAGGTGCCACTACCAACTTGTCTATCTGGAAGGGATAGACTTGGATTTCGTTTGACGATTGTGAAAGGATGTCTTGGTTTATATCACGATACTTATACCAATGGAAAGACTGAGGTATGGGTGATGAAAGAGTATGGTGAGATGGATTCCTGGACTAAGTTAATGATCCTTCCATGGCATATAACAAGAAAAAGATATGATTTTAGGAAGAATTTGTTGTGTGTTACGGAGAAAGGTGAAATTGTGACCTTGCTTGAAGGAAAAGATATACATGTTTATAATCCTGAAGAAGATACGTCTAGGAAACTTGAGTCAATAAGGGATTCAATATCAGTGGTTTTATTTGCGGATAGTTTAGTCTTACCCAGTTGGTCATTAAGTGGCAAAAACCTGTACCTTAATAAGGGAAGGGAAAGGAAAAAGAAAGGTTCCAGGTAAATCAATTCCATATTATTCTCTTTTTTGAGACAATGCCATACTGTTATGTTTGATAATATCTATATATATATATTTTTTTGATACGTAGTTTTTTTTTTTTTTTTTTTCATGTTTGATATTATTGTCACACCACTAAATATGCAACACATTAACATTATTGTTGTGTGGTATTGTATTTTCAATTTAATTTAATTTAATTTTTGTTGTGCGATTTTGCATTCTCAATTTAATTGCATTAAGTATTATTGTACCTAAATTTATAAGATTCAAGTCCATTTGCATTCTTCTGGTGGCTTGTGTTTTAATCTATCATTGCAGTATAACTGAGTACCAATGGTCACACACCTATAATTCACAATATATTTCTAGAATAGATTACTATACTATTGGATTAGAACGCCTTTGGTTAGGTTTATCCACATAGTTTTTTTTTTTTTTTTTTTTTTTTTTTTTTTTCACTTTTCGATCGGACTAAAAATTCAAAGAACTTGTTGATTAGATTCTTGAATAGTGCTCCTGCATTTTTATCTCCATGACAAAAGAGTAAAATTTCATCGGCAAAAGCAAAATTGTATCTCATGTTTGTCATTTCTGATTTATAAACCTTATGAAATAATTTTTTTATGAAATGATTTTATATCAGATTTAATGATTCTTCAATTCTTTAATCATTGCTCAAAATTTCAGACCATTTATCAGATTGAATAAGGTATTGTTGACAACCAATTGGACTTATTGTCTTAATTTTTAAACTAAACAGAGTTCTGGAAAGAATTGTAACAAGATAAAGAATATACAAATTAAAGTTCCAATTTATATAACTACCAGATTTTCCTTTTAATCATGACTTCATTACACGTGAAATGTGGAGTTGCTTGATCATCAAAACTGAGTTTAAATTTAAAATAACCATTAAAAAAATTATCTCTTTTTACAGAAGAAAAAAAACCGTAAAAAAATAATATTTATTGAAGAAATGATCTCTTTTGTAAAGATCAAAATATATATATATATATATATATATATATATATATATATATATATATATTTCAATTGAATAAATTATTTCTTTTGATGGGACTCATAAAAAAAAAATAAAAAAAAAAACAAAAAAAAAAGGTGGATACATCTATTGAACGGAAAAGAAGAAGTTAACTTTGTTAAATAAATTATTTGTTTTGATTGCACTATGTCTTTTGACTGCTAAAAATAAAATTATCAATATTGAATAAATTATCTTCTTTGAGAGGACCTCTGAAAAGAAAAAAAAGTATAGCACTGAATATATATATATATATATAGTAAAGGAACTAAAGAATAAGTTGTATAAAGGGTAGTTATGGCATCATAATATAACGCATAATACAATAATGAATTTAAGGACCTTCTTGCCGTTTTTTTTTAAAAGAAAAAGATAAATAGAGTGCAATTGGAAAATGTAGAGTGCGAATATTGCCTCACCTTTTTGAACAGTTGAATTTCTGCCACTAGCTGACTTTATCTTTATGCTTTGGTTAGTAGAAAGAAAAAAAGAGGTATAGAGAGAAAATAAGAAAGAAAGAACGAAGCTCCTTTGTTCGGTATAGATGATATAAGAAAAAAAGGAAAATAGAAAGGATGACAAATTTTCATTCACCAAAAAATGAGCAGAAGAAATGAGGGAAAACAAGTGAACT